AGATTGCAGGGAGTGAATTAGCAAATGCTGAACTACAGACTCACGGGAATTAGTGGGTGTGGGTTTGTGGTTTGTGTTACAGAGGAAGTTAGACCCCAGATGACCAGAATGATCCTCTTGGAACTGCAGCTGCCCAGTGATGCATCCTGCAGTGTTATGGTGTGTTTTTTCCACTAGCTAGACTGCAGGTGTCTGAGGTTGTACAGCAAGGAGTATATGGCAATGAAAAGTGAAAACTGTTTGGGATATGTTAGTGCAGCTGCCTGCTGGGCTGCCTGCTGGGATTTGGCTCTACTATGGCAGGGCTCTGGCTGAAGCCATTGGTGTTTGAGGCATGGTGGTCTTGCCTTGATCATCCTGGCACTCCTGATGCTTAAATCATGCTCCATGGTTAGAATTTCCCCACATTCAAGATGTTATGATGTCTGCCAGTTCAACTAGGATAGCTGTAAGGCCAAGTCTCTAACAGGAAAAGCTTTTAACCAAAATCCAATTTGTAAAATAACATGAAACAGAGAAATAAATAGAGACATTTTTAAAAATCTGCAAGACTTTGAGGCAGAAATGTATTTAAAAGATTAAGTCCACATAGTAACTTTTTATTTTCCTCTGAAATTTGCTTCTTACGGTATTAATTAGTTAAAACAGGGTTAGCCCAGTGTTGCAGAGTTCACCTCCTATGAGTCAGACTGAAGTCTAGCTACTATTTTTTGGCTACCTTTATATAGTATGGCTGTGTTTGTCATCACTCCTCTCCATTTTGTAATGTCAGAATGAATAATTTTAGGAATGTTTGTATCAGTTCTGTATGAAACCAGACAAGCTGCAGTTTACTGAGCTTTCAAGGTTCATATTTTCTTGTAAGTTGATAAAGTTGAAAACTTTTCATTTCTTTTTTCTCTTTTTTTATTTTTTACAAGAGGAAAAATACATTGGTTATGCTTAGTTCTTCTTTTTTTTCCCCTCACTTCTGCCTCTTTTCCCAACGTGCCAAGTCTCTGATGTGTTTCTCTTGGTCTGGATAAGGGTTCGTTGAGTCTGGAGCAAGGATGGACTGATGAATCAGGGTTTGCAGTGCAGCTAGTTCACCCTGGCAGGCAGAAGCATGGAAACAGGGTCTCTGCACTGTTTGCAGTCCCTGCCAGGATATCTGCAAATCCCTATTAGGATCATATCATGGCTTTTTCCTCAAAGTGAAAGACTTCTTTGAAGGAGTTTCCTTTTATGTGAACAAATCCCACAATGAGCTTTTTAATTCCCCCAATTGCACACTTTGTTCTTCCAGCTGTATCACAGATCTTCTTGGTAATTTTGGTCACTGTTCAGGCCACCTACTGCAGCACCAAATGCAGAAGGTCATGTTTACTGTGGTGCAGTTTACTTGAGAACAGTGTCTCCACTGGAATTTGTAAGGAGCTTTAATTGCAGAGCCACTGGGAGTATGTAACTTGGGCATCCCTTTCATCTCCTTTCTTCTGATAACAGATATTCCTCAGTGTTATCCTGGTGCATGCATTAGCATTTCTGTGATAGTCAGTAATCAAAACTTAACACCTCTCTAAAGAGACTTCACAGTTCTTATGGTAGAGGTGCATAGAAGAACTGGAAACATATCGGAATTTACTTTCTATTTTCTTGCTAGTTTGCTGTGGTCCCACCCCACTCCCTGCACCATACTGCCTAAAAAGAGTGTTTTAAAATACTAATTAGTATTTAATAACATTAAAATAACGTCAGTAAGGTTTGTCTCATTTCTTGTTCTGGGCAGGGTTTTTGACTGGGAGTAGATAAAGAGTGATGTTAAATATTCAGGGTATTCTAAGCTAGAAGCATAGATGTTCATAGCATAGTTTTCAGTTGCTTTATGCTGGGATCTCATGTACAGATTTCTCCACTGTTCATCGCCTTGAGCAGATTTTGCACTGGTATAAAATCACAGAGTCTCACAGGTTGGGAAAGATCATTAACCCAGCACTGCTGTCCCCACCATTAACCCTTGTCCCTAAGCACCACATCTGCATGTGTCTTGAACATTTCCATGGATGGTGACTCCACCCCTTCCTCAGACAGCCTATTCCAATGCTTTACCACTGTTTTGGTGAAGAAATTTTTCCTAATACCCCATCTAAATCTGCCCTGGTGCAACTTGAGGCCATTATACAGTGGATATAAAGTAGAACTGCTACGATCAATCAATATAAGATTGATAAATAAAATATATTTCAAGTATGTATTAATCTAATAGTGTATTATAAATTAAATTATTCAGTTTATCTTGGCATAGAGATAGATAGCAGAGCTATGATTGCTGGTGAATGTAATTAATTTACTGGTTTATAAACATAAAGTTCTCTAGTGATTATTGCACTATCTCTGTGTGAAAACTTGCATTTGTATTCCAAGTTAGCTTGAAGAAAAATAGGAAAAAAATATGGAAAGTTGTTGTTTTTATCAATATGTAGAACGTCCTGTATTCTCTAAATTTTATCTACATATAAAATACTGTAATTTTGTTTAATGTGATAATATATACAAAAATAGGCCTTGTTAACTGAGGAAAGTCTTCCATCTTAATGCTAAGAACATAGTTTGTTTTCTCTGAGGGTGTAAATCTGCACAGCTCTTTTAAATTTAACAGAATTCCTTTGACTTCCAGTTGTTTTTGGAGAAGGGCCAAATACTGGCAGATAACCTGATTAATGTAGACATTCATACCTGTAAAATCTTTCACTTGTTAAAGGTATAGATCACTTGAGGTTAGAATAAGATGAACATTATTTCATGTAATTACAGTATCTGCAACAGTTAATTTGTGTATCATAGCATTTTAATCAAATGAATGCAGCAAACAAGTTCAAAATGTGGAAAGAATTACTGAAAAGCACTCGTGACCTTTAGTTTAATGATGTCTACTCTCCCTTCTCATTACAGACTATTCAAGTCAGTGATTTCCCTTTTTGGAAAACAAGGTTGATTTAAGGAAAAGGACCTAAGATAAAGTGTTGAGGATTTTTTTTTTTTTAAGTTTTATTTTAAGATTGACTAATCTTTATCATTTTCAACTGGACAGTGTACTGGGCAATAAAGGGGGCTGCATATAGCCCTCAACATAGAACAGTGGATTGTTTCTTAGGGCTCCCAGGTTAAAAGCAGCAGGGGGAAATTGAAATGTTCTTTTTACCAAAACACAATTTCAAAATAATTTTAATTGGTTTTGTTCACAGCCTCAGAAAGGGCATGGTGCATTTCTGAGGCCACTTTTGCACACCTTTATTTAGCCAAGGCAATAACCACAGGTAACTACCTGTGGTACAACTGTACGTGATGGGAATTGTCTGGCTGGAAAGGAGCTCAGCAGAGAGTGGCCAGGGAGTCCTGGTGAACACCAAGCTGACCATCAACCCACAATGTGTCCTTGCAGCACAGAAAGCCAACAGCTTCCTGAGCTGTATGAGGCAGGCTGTTACCAGCAGATGGAGAGAGGTCACTCTTCCCTGATCAGTGATAGATCTGGAGCTCTGTGCCCAGTTCTGGACTTCCCAGTACAAGAGAGACATGGATGTATTGAAGGACAAAGAATCATGAGGATGAGTTAAGAACTGGAGAATCTGTGAGTATGAGGAGAGGCTGAGGAAGCTGAACTGAGGGACAAGAGAAGAAAATAGAATTAGTCTCCTCAGAGGCACCCAGTGACAGGAAACACAAACTGATGCACAGGAGTTTCCTCTGGACCTAGGAGAAACCCCACTTTTTCTGTGAGGGTGGCACAGGTTGCCCAGACAGGCTGTGGAGTCTCCATCCTTGGAGACATTCAGAGCACAATGGGATGCTCTCCTGGGCCACCTGTTCTTGCACACCCTGCTCTCACAAGGTGATCAAAGTAGCCAATCTCCACAGGTGCATTCTAGTCTCAGTTACCATACAATTCTGTGATTTCATGAAGGTGAAATATATAAGAAAATATTTTCATTGCACTTCATTCCACATTCCCAGTGGTCTGTTAATAACACAGGAAAATTTACCCACTTTCATGATTAAACTTCTGAAAAACTGTCTTTGAATATTTCTTAAGCTGCTGGAATATATTCTCCAACAGTCTGGAAAAAGCCACTAGAGTCTATAATTGTGTTTACGGAGATGAAAGAGGTAAAATAAATCTTCTGTGCAGTAAAAAAATGTAAATACAAATTTCAAAGTTAAAATGATAGGCATATAGGAAAGACTGAAAGTCAGAAGAGGCCTGTGGAGATCATCTGGTTCAACCTTCTGGTGCAAGGGCTGTGGATGAGGTTATTCAGGGTCGTATGAAGCTGAATTAGCAGGAGAAATTGTACCTTTTCCCTGGCTGCCCATTCCATTTCTTATATCCAGATGAAATTTCCCCTGAAACAACTTGTACTCCTAGTCTGTTGTCTTGTTGCCATGCATGGTACTGAAGAGACAGAGCACCTTCATCTTCTCTATAGCTTTTTTTTTTGGTTATTGGTAGACAGACATCTCCCCAAGGCTTCTCTTCTATGAATTACCCAAGCACATTCCCTTGTAGACCCCTCTTTGAATGTCAGTATATCCAGAATATCCAGTCCTCTCACTGCTTTGGTGGTCTGTTGCTGGATCACCTACATTCTTTCTCTCTTTTAAACTGGAGCAAATACACTCCATGTAGTCCATGTGGACATGTTTCTTCTGGTAAGATTTAGCAGCACAAGGAGATTTTTCCAGAAGTCTATGAGGATGTCTCATAGCTAGTTGTAAGTATCAAAATAGATTTCCCAAAGTCTAAAGAGAAATAAATCTCACTTTTATGGGATAATTTTCCAAGATAGTGCAGAAAAGGATTAGTCATAAGGGTGATGTAAAATATAACAAGTTTGAACCTACTCTGGCTGTTTTGGAATGACCTATTTACACCGGGTTCTATCTTAACAACTGTACTTTGAATGCATGTTGTTATTTTTTTGTTACTCAGAAGTGGTGCTTAATATATTTAATATTTTTAGTGCCCTACAGATACCAAAGCAACGTTTGGGGTCCACCTAAAAGTAGTAGGAGACTGGACAGGTATGTAGAAAAACAATTCCTTTTCAGAGACAAATGCCTTTACTTGAACTGTTCTCACTTTCTGGCTTCAGCACAGTTGTTCCTTGACTGCGATGTATTCTCACTAGAGATTGTTCATGCTTGTTTTCCCAAAATTGTTTTTATTACATTCTTGATGCAATCCCTGCTTTATTCAGATGTACTGTTTCTTCGAATAACATGTTTTTCCAACTACTAACTGATCTTCTGATTGCACTGTAATAATTTTCAGCGTTTCTCCATTTCTGCCTTTTTCTTGCTTTTGGGTAGCCTGCTACCCCTGCGCAGTGCAGTGCCTCTGTACATAGTAGTGTCTGCAGAAATGCTGAAATGTGCAGCTCCCAGATAAGTGGATTTTGATGCCAACAGTTTGGATGGCAGCCAGGTTAATTAACGCCTGTGGTACACTGAGATTACAGGTTTGCTTTCATGTTCTTCCATGCTCTTCCATTGCTCTTTGAATGTCCTCCAGACCAGAGGTGCAAGCCAGGATTCCCTGCAGAGGAGTAGGGCAATTTGGTGCTCCCTGTGACAGTTGTATACTGAAGTGATAGTTGTCCTTATTCCTTAGCGCCTGACTTTGTTCTTGCCCAGCATAGCATTTCCTTGTAAGGAAGACAGATACACAGCAGGGTCTGGTTCATTTCTTATGAAGAAATGTTCTCCCTTTTAATTTGTATCAGCTTGTGTGTTTGTGGAATTGAGTCAAACGAGCTTGTCGCCCTAAAAGGGATTAGACCAATGCAGAGATAATAAGTCTATGCATATTTGCTGAACTTTCCAGTCTGGCTGCATACTTGCCTCTGCAAGACTTCAATAGGCGAAGGCTGGGAGGGCGATGCCATATGCACATGTGTTCCATAATCCCCCTGATTTTCTCTCCTTGCTTGAAGTGTTGGCCAGACAGGGGCAGATTAGCCTCTGGTCTGCCTCAGAATGATGGCCCTTTTTTTGTCAAGCATCATTCCTGTGTGGGAGGTGACAGCAGGCCATTTGGGAAAGTGGGATGGAGAAGTACTAGCTAAAGGATTTTTCCAAAGTAAGTGGCATCTTTACAGTTTTCTGATTACCTACTTGGTGTGAATTGCTCCCTTTTAGCATTTAAGTATTATCCTCCCAAGTCAGTATCTGTAGTCTCCACTGAAAGGAAGGGCTGTGTGATATTCAGGACACTGTCACATTACAGAGACCGTTTATTGTGGTAGCTTTGCTCAACAGAAATATCTCTCCCAGTGTCAGATGTGCTGTTGAGAAGCAGACAGTTTACCCAGCCCTTTATGCCCATCAAAACCATGGAGCCCTGCTCTCACTCATTCCCTTAAGCCCTGTGACAATTAATAATTGTCTCTAATCTGCTGACTGTTTGAGGAAGGATTATTGTATTTGCCACATTCCTTATTATCTTTCTTAAGCATGCTCTAAAGGCTGCTACTGCAGACAGGATATTAGACTGGAGGAGTTTTTATGAGACATACTGTCATTTGAGGTCTTTTCATGACCTAGTCTCTCAGCCATTATCCTATTTATTAAAATTCTCTTTTGTATTGCCGTCTCCCATTCCTGACAGTTTATACCTGACACCAAAGAGACCTGACAGTTTATTTCAGAGAACTCAATAACAAGCCTAAAGTAAAAGGATAAAAGAGAGGTGCAGATATGCCATGAAATGCAGAGAAGAACTGGTTAGTTGAGGTGTTTCTCCTCTGGATAGCTTTAGCTTCTGCTGCCTGCACCTGGGAGATATGGTGAAGGAACATTTCCTGCCACTAGCTGTAAGGACAGGAGAGGGAGTACAGATTACTGGCAAACCAATTCTGCAAGTTGTTTCAGGTCAAGTCTCTTAACAGTGTCTCTGACTGATATTTTGAAAATGTAATAGAATACCTTGTTTTGTAGGTTGAGAAAGCAACTGCATGTCAAGAGAAAAGGGGTAATATTATTTTCAACTCCTGATGAGAAGTTGCTATTGATGGGAAGTAATTTATTGCCCGTATCCCAGTGTATATAATTTTGGATTTCAAATAAAATAAGCTGAAAGAAGCAGCTTTTGGAAAAGTTAGTCATTCTAGAAATAATGCTTTGCACAAGAGCCGATACTTTGTTGATTTTCAGGCAGTACTGTTATTTGCTTTTTAAAATCAATTATTTGAATAATGGAAAATGTAGGACAGAAAAAGTACATAAGAGAGGAAGTAGCTACAAAAACAGTAGCTCTGAGACCTTTGCAAATTAACTGGTAATCTAGACACCCTGTTTCATGCTCCATTCAAATGAAATGGTGCTAGCTGAGATTGGAACAGCTGAGAATCTGCCCCCCTCAGAAGCAGATTTGGATAAAAGCAGAAACTTTCCTTACATTATATAAGCACCCACATCCTTTTCCAATACAAATCTGAGATCTCCTATTTCTCACCCATGTTGTGCTGGTATTAATAACTGTATAGTGCTTAACTTTCATGTTCATCACAGAAAACAGACTCACAGGCACTGTCATTGCTGTAATGTGCCCTCAGATGCCTTTGAAACACATATTTTCACCTGAAATGGTTCCCATAGCTCCCTTTGTAGACCTCTGACCTGTTTATATGTCTAGTTTAGGACAAGACAAGCCAGTCTCAAGCATGCCTTTTTCTCTTCATTCGTTGTAGAGAGAGTATATGTATATACAATCTCACTGCCTCAGAGGTAGGTTGTTTAGTTAATTGGCAACTAGTTGTGATTTTTCCCATGTAAACATTTCTAATTTGAATTTTCCTTCCATCTTTTGCCACGTGCCGTGGGTATTGTGAACAGGGGAACAGCTATCATAGACCTTCCTAAAAATGAGTGTGTGATTATGCAATTGCTGTCCTTGTGCTGACGTGTAACTGCTAAAGTCGGCACCTATTGTATTAACAAAACATTCCATGGCACTGTGAAACCTGTGGCTGTGGAGCACGGCTTAGCTGGACAGTCAGGACCTGGGTGCCCAAGTTAGGATATGTTTACAGTGGCTGATCTGTGGTGATTGCACACGTGCAGGTTGGTTTTTCTCCGTGGTGCTGAGCTGAGTCAGCCTGTCTTCCTCTGTGGCTTCCTCAAGCTGAGCCAGAGGGTGTTTAAACCCTGCAGTAGCATCGAGGGTCCTGCAGTGGCTCATGCACAGGTCAGAGCTGTGAGGTGCATGGATGAGCTAATAAGCTGATCTTGTGACTGGCCACCCCCTCTAAATACCTGTTTTGTTCTGCTTCTCTTAGTACTTGTGGCCACCTATTTTTCCTTCAGCTTTGAAGTAATTGTTGGCTTAGTATTTACAACACAATTTTTTTCAAGGTTTTTTTTTGCCCCACTTACTGTCTAGTTTGTCTTTAGCGTTGTCATCTATCAGCCTTATGTCTCTTCTGTCCTTGCTGCTGCCTCAAGTACTACTGCTTGTTTAGTTTTAAAGCTGACATTTCATCTGGCACCTCTGGAGGGAAAAACAGAGACCATGGGCCATGCCTCGCATCCAACAACTTGACAGCAGTGAAAAAAGACATGGCAGTGTATCAAGACAATGTGTCTCATTCACTAGGCAAACTTCAGGGTGGGAGACAGAAAGTGATATTGATGATGCAGAAATAAAAGACATCAGAAGACGTGCAGTGTGTTTTTGTGGAAAACAAATACACAGCACTCAGAGGTGTTGAGGTGAACTGCATGCCTTAAGGCAGTGAAACATTGCTGTTACTTGCTGGAACAAATTGATGTGGCATTGTGCTTATAACACAGATGCTGTTCTGTGCTCTACAGTAATTTGTATAATTTTTATGTAGCAGTGGCACCATGCTGCTGTGTAGTTGTGTATGTTACTAGAGACATTTTCAAGGCTTGTCCTGAGCACTGTGGTATTTATTGTGGAGATGCCACAAGAGCACTTGAGTACCAGCCATTGAATCTGAGAGTTCTGTCCTATAGGTTACTAAGTGTCATGGCAGCAGGAGGTGGTGATGTGTGCAGGAACTGTCCACAGAGTCAGAACAGACAGATTATGGAGTACTGGTGTGCTTCACCCTGATAAACTCCAGATCTCATCAGGAAATATATATCTTTGCTTCATTTTCTTTTGCTACAGATGAAGTTATGCCTGGTCACTGGGTCATTCAGGTACAGGCAACCTTGTTTGGAGTCCTGACATAGCATAATGGGAATTTTTGTCACATATTGTCACAGTCCTTTTTCTGGAAGGTCCAGATTTGGAGCAGGAAGTTTCAGGAGGGAAAAACAAACAAACCATTTTCCAGTTAAAAACAACAATTTTCCAGAGCATGGCAAGTGTTTGAAAACATGGATCTTGTTTAATTCCCTATGGAGTAAGACCTGAGACGGCAAACAGTACACACCCCAAATTACTTGTTTTTAAACAGGAAAAAAAAATAAAAGAAGGCAGTTGTTTGGGATTTTGGAGCCTGACTAAAGATTTTTCTCACATTGACCAGAAGAAGAAAATGACATGCCTTTTAAGTGCCTCAGAAGGAAGAATGATCTGAACATTCTAGTCGGGAGAGTTTGTCAGGAGTATTTGCATGACTATGTTAAGCTCTTGCAGCTCCTGATTTAGGGGATGCTTGAAGCATCCTGCACTTACCTGGAACTTCTCATCAAGTGTAGGATCTAGTAAAGAGGGAATATTTTGCGTTAAGTAGCCCTGAGAACAGTTTTAGATGTATTGTTAGTGGATCTTGATTCTGACTGGAGGCATGTGTAGAACAGAAGATGACAAGAAGGAATAATAAGATTACAAAGTCTGTCCACAGGAAGTGACAAAGTTGTCCCAGGTTCACTGTAACTGCTACTGAGTTTCTTTAAAAATATCTACTCACTGGTGATGAACATTTGGTCAATTCTTTTGCTATTACCTCAAGCTCTGTTTGATTTGGGCCTTTTCCATTCCATAGTAACATTTTTTTGTGTTTAGTTATTCCATGAGATTCCTGGCAGGGTGTAAAGGTGTTAATGACGTG